TCGGTTACTGGTGCTGCAGTGGCAGCCATGTTGGATCTGCTGGCTCTCCAGTTCCATGGTTGCAGGGCTGTCAGTGATAACGCTGACTGATTCCTGGAAACTGACACTCTTCAGGGCTCGCTCTCTTGGCACTGTGTCATTGACATCTTCAGCTGCCTGCCACGATTTCTGCATCAGCAAACAAAAAGAAGACGTGTGGTTCAGAGATACTGTACTGGGGAGTCCATCTGATGATTAATACAAGCATTTGCTTAAATCAGGAATCAAAAGATGTTTCACTGGTTCACTTTTCTCAGAAGGGTTAGTTAGACTCTTGTAACCAAAAAGACACACATCCCCATACAGACACACGTCACACACATAAATCTGCCTGTCTGCATTGCAGTAGTACGGTGTTTCAAGTTCAACCTCTGCAGCAACTGAAGTGTTCTGAATGCTTCCCATCACAAGGGGGCGCCAAGCCCCATGCTGCTCTATGATGGACCACAAATACAACAAGCTTCTGTAGTATGAATATTATGTTAGAGGACACACTGGCATACAGGGATCAAACCTGTGACCTTTTCTGTTTGTGAACCATCTGTGTAAAAAATTCCAGACCTGCCATTACACTCCTGTCTTTATTGACCTTTCAGTTTCTGTATGGGCCACTGATGGCCTCACACTTTTTACACCTCTACTCTCAGGATGAGTTTACCCCCATGAGAAGCTATTAATCCCAGTCTATGTAAACCGTCTGTGTATGTGGGGATTTAATGAGGATCACTTTAGTGAATCGGTTAATGTTCAGTTAAAACACACACAGCAATAAGAAGGAAGTATTTCCTTTTTATCCACTTGGACTGAGACTAAGACCAGACCTATGATTATGATTTTCATAGAAATGTCTACTAATGTGAACTAGCTCCATGAGGTGTTTCTGTACCATCCATGCCTGATTCAACTGGACATGTATAGAAAATGACCTTAAATCTAGATCACTTTCCTCTCTATCTACCACCCTTTACTTTCTCTTCATTTTGGTTTCTTAGACCTCATCCCTTCTTCCTCAGAGTCCCCTCTCTTCCTCTTCACTGCTCTTTTTTTGCATCTTTTCTTTTCTCTGTTGCTTCCTCTCTTCTCTCTGTGACTGTTTAAGTGAAGGAACAGTGGTCAGTGAAGTCACATGGTGGATTATAACTCTCTTCTGTAAACGACTTCTCAAGTGTTTCATACTAAAGCAGCACTCTCCTCCATACTCCTCTCCTTCAGTCTGCACGCTTCCTCCCTCTAATCCTCGTGTCTGCTTTTTCTACTGAGAGAAAGGAAAGAAAACTCTTCTCTGAGGGTATTTTGGTCTCAAATTCTGGCTCAAATTAAACTCTTTATATTGTCTTGTAAAATAAAATGATATATATACACATCATAATAAACGAATTCTCTTTGAACAAATCCTCACAATTTAAGCTGACCAATGCCAAAATAAATAAAATTATGTAAAATTTCCATTTTGCCACTCTGTGTGATTGATTCTTATACAAGTGATTATGTCTGTATCATCTACTTCATTAAAGATTCTCTATTTGGTTTTTGAATACGATGAGTGCTGCATTCCAACAGCAAAAAACATGGTATTTTGCCAAAAAGAAAATGAAAATTACAGAAAAGCAAAATATCAACAAACAGCAGTAAAAAACACTATTCAAGACTGCACAGCCATGCTAGCTGTGAGGCTGTGCTTAGGGACAGTGTGTTTTGAGCTAAATGCTAACATGCTGATGTTTAGTAGGTGCAAAATTATTTTAGAGGGTCAGCATGATAACATTTGTTAATTTGTAGAGAACACAAACAACAACGGAGGCTGATGGAAATGTCATTAGTTTTGCTGATGTTTAATCTGGTTTAGTAGAGCCAATATTTGACATTTTTGCATGAAAATGACTTAAAATTGTTATGTTATTAAAAGCTTAGGTAACAATTTTGATCTAACAGTGAGGGGAGGAATCTTCTGAGGTTGAGATATTGCAGTCTGGACCAAAGTGGTGGGCCAGTCGACCTAGTGCCACCCCTGGATCCATCAGCATGGGTGATAAAACACCACAGCAAACATCACTTTAGAAATGGTGAAACCAACTGTCTTTGTCTAAGACTGTCATAGACATAGGACAAGATTACAGAACCATTAAAACTGCCTTATTGTTTTCTCTAGTTTCTTTTTCTTCTCACTCTCGCTAACTCTGCCCATAAACAAGTCAAATGATGTTTCACCTGCTTATAGTGACCATGTGAGGACCTGATATTGCTTCTGTTTACACATAGAATAAGTCTTCTGTCTTGTATTTGACCCATGTCTATACTGTATGTGCGTGCACGTGAAAGAATGTGTAGGAGTGTGTGTCCAGAAGGCAGGACAGAACACAGGGAGAGGATATCCTGTTACTGCCTCAGGAAAACAGTACTACAGTACAGGAATGTCTAGTGCAATGCTATTCTTCCACACCCACCCACACACACACACACACACACACACACACAAAATGCAGAAAAAGAAGTGTGCAGCTGTGCAGCAGTGTATGCATGCATGTGTCCTTTCAAGTGTGTATTCACATGTGTGTTTCTATCTCTCTTTGAGGTGAGCTGACATTCCAGGCATAGCTAGCTGTCCTCAAGGCTTTGACTCTAACGCTTGTGAGGACAGACACTGTACGGACACAGCCTGACCAGCTAAAGGTATTTGTAATGCAGAAATCACACAACTCTATGAAAAAGCTAAAATTCCTCAAGTTGTGTCTGAAGATGAAAACGCTGGGATGTTTTATTACCATCAGACCAGAATTTAAGTCCCCATTAGCATGTAAATGTACATGCAACATTTAAATGCAACATAACTTAATGAATGGTGTTAACTGTCTGAAACACCACCATGATCTCATAGTTGTGTGTGTGTGTGTGTGTGTGTGTGTGTGTTTGGGTTTCTCACTCCAAAGTAAAGCCATCTTCTATAGGGTTAAAGGTGTAAAGGTGAAGAGTTTAGACACGGTATAAAGTTGGTAAAGAGTTTGGTTAACAAGTTCAGATCAGAGTTGGTTTGGGTCAGTTTAGAATCTGTTTTATGTTTAGGAAGTTTTATGCTTTATGGCTAGAATTGAGATTTAAACCTTGGTTAATTTATATAAATTCATTTAGTATTCTGATTCAGATCTATACCTTTAGGAGAAAAAACAGAATCGCCCTCCCATATTTATCCAGGTTAAAGTTAGGTTTGTGAGTGGGAGTAGTGTTGTGGTTAATATTATAAAAGGGTGGGACTCAGTAAATTCAATGGAAATTCATAAAGTATAGAAACATAACCACGAGTCTGTCTGAGTCAGCTTCAGATTTCTATTCTAAGTGCTGTTGCATCCTCTGCCTGTTGCCATTCCAACCACATCTGGAAATGCTTATGCTCCTACTGTGATGCACAAAAAAAAAAAAAAAAATCACAAACACACACATAAACATGCACACTGAGCTGCATGCCTGAGACATGGGAGGGGGGTATGTAAACCAGAACAAATTTAATACACCCAAATACTCACTGACTGGAAGTAAACGCACTGTGTACATCTTTCTCTTGTGGTTTCTCTCTATCTCACACACTAACGCATTTTCCATACCCTTAATATCACATCATAGTCTTCTGTTAGAGCACACACAATTAAGCAAGTACATGTGGCAAATGTAGAAATAATGATAATGCATGTCCACAAACAACACACGTAGACACAGAGACAAAACTCCACTGCAGTCAGTGTCCCTGGCTGTGTTTCCTCCCTAAACATGATCCTGTATTGTAACTGGAGCCTGCTGCTGGTCGAGCCTGGTGTTCTCAGATCCAAACAGCCTGGATTGTGAGCCCAGGCCAAGCAGCGCTAATCCCTAACGTATTCAAGTTTTCAGTCAGTCTCCCATGAAGACACTCTGGAGATGTTGAATAGCAGCACTAGTAGGTCACTGACAAAGAGAACAAGTGGCTAAATTGACACTCGGTGAGTCACTGGATGGCAGCAGACAGGTGGGCCGACAGCAGAAATAACAGCTGGATGTTTTTTTTAAGTCCAGCTAACAGCTGGAATAAGCATAAGGTTGAATAGGTCAAGTCTTTGCACTTTAACCTCTTGCACATTTTTGTGTATACTCACAAAATTATGTTCCAAAATCAGGATAACCTCTGACACACCACAACACCAGAATCTCAACTTTAACATGAACATTTAATCTAATCTGACCAAATTTGCCTTTCTGTTCTGACACTTCCTCTGTTTTTCCAATGCAGCACATCAGTTCACGTTTGTCCCGTTAACATTTAACTGAATTTAACCATGCAGAACACATTTGTTTAAAATAATATTTTGCAGTGGACATTCAGTTTTACCACTGCATGCACTCATCTTGCTTTTCTTTCCTCTACAAGATATGATCTAATAAAACAAAAATGCCATAAAATACCTCAAACTGCAAATCAGAAGTCATATAACTCCACCAAGTTAGAGTTAGTACTCACCTGCTGCTCTGACAAGTACCTTATGTCTCAACAAGTGTTTTGTCTATTGAAGTGATATCTGTAAATCCATTATGCTATTAAATATTACTATAAGCTAAACCATCTGCGTATGTCTTCGTTTCATGAGCTTATTCGTTTTCCTATTTTAGCTCTGTTCACTTCAGTCCAGCCTTGACCAGTCCTGTTCCAGATAGTGGGAGTGCCGAACTTTTCCCTGGCCAAGCCTTTTCCTCCCCTTCTTCTTCTCCTCCTCCTTTTCCTCCCCTCCAGTCTCTTTCCTCTCCTCTACAAAGCCTCTCCTTTCTCAGTCACATTCCTGACAGCTGCTCTGTAAGCCGTGATGTCATGGGCTAAGTGTGTATGTATCACCCACAAAGACCCCTTCTGTGTAAGCACTCTCTCTCTCTCTCTCTCTCTCTCTCTCTCTCTCTCTCTCACACACACACACACACACACACACACACACACACAACCACCCTGTGGTTCCCTTCCTGTGTAGGACCAAGC